CTGGTATTTCGAATTTCGAGTGTAGTGCGCATGCGCCCTGGCCTGGGGTGGGAGTAAGATGACTCGACTTACTCTCGTATATAAATATAATTATTTATTCAATAAATATAACTAATTCGACTATTTTGCGATCCTCACACGCACTGGCAATTAAATTGCAAACGACTGGTGATAATTTTAATAGTAGAAACTCTACCGTTGAGGCGAAATAATAGTTTTATTAGATTCTCGCAGGACGTACTACATTTTATTTTTTTTACAAAAAAATAATACTCTGACAATTTTTTGCATGGCAATTGCAAAACCTGCAAACGATTCCGCAATTTTTGGTATTTTTTTTTTTTTTTGCTGGATGCAAGTCGTTTGCACAGTTCACTGTGCTGTAGAAACCAGTAGGACGAATATAATACCCAACTATGCCAGATACTCGAGATCGCAGTTGACAACTGTAGACCGCTCTGTATAGACAGATAGTTCGGAACTGACCCGGTGCGCCCACCCAAAGTAGTCGCAAGACTCCCCTTCCCTTTTTAATTCTCCCACCCGCTGCAGTCGTCAGGACCCATCAATCCCCTACACCTTATGCGAAAAGCCAGGGAAAGAGAGAGAGAATGATGTAAGCAATTAAGAGAGGGGGAGAGACCTATGACCCGAGGACACTTAATAAGAGCAAAGGAGATGGAGATGTAGGCGCATGATAGAGAAGGAGAGAAAATGTCTAGCTAATGAGAGTATAGAGAAAGAGAGACATAATGAGAGTTGGCGTGAGAGCGATTAATTGTACCGACTGAAACAAAAGGAGAAAAAGGATGAAGGTAAGAAAGAAATTGATCGGCGCTTGCATATGTGAATATGTGATGAATTTTGTGTGAACTCGGTGTGCTGCCACCTTCGGCGTGCTGCGAGGTTGATCCTCCACCGCTCACGAGGCGGTCTACGAATTTTAGTCGTTTCGACTAAACATCGCTTTAGAAATAAGTGTCTTACTAATTTTTTTTTATGAAATAATGAGAAAGGAGCTTAAAAATATTCTTTAATTGTTTAATTTTATATGTAATACTGTGTCACGTACGACTACGAGCGGTGCGTGGTCCAGATCAACCCATGCCTATGTGACAACTTTTATACTTTAAAAATCTATAAGATCATCTTAAATTTTTTTTCACATGATTTTCTTTATTATTTAACATTAACTTTATCAAATAAAAAGTTTTTTGAAAAAAGGAATCTTTCATTTTAATTTTTTTTTTTTTTTTTTTTTTGTAACAATGATAGTAACAAAATAATTTTGATAATCATCCAACTATAATAAATGGATTTTCTACCTTTCTGCTTCTGAAAAGTTTTGCCATGTGGCATCTGATAACTACGATCGAATTTGGCCCTTGAAGGGTCAATGGCAAATTTATTCACAGCTTTTCATAACTACATTAAACAATGTATCCTATCACAGATAATCAAAGCCGACGACACAGGCGGCTTGTCGAGCACAACAACGGTCAACATCAAAGTGACGGACATCAACGACAAGAATCCCGAGTTCGAAGGCCTACCCTACGAGTTCACCGTCAAAGAGGGCGAGGCACGTAAGCTGATAGGCCGAGTGCGTGCCGAAGACGCGGACGAGGGTATTAATTCGGAGATTAGTTACTTTGCACCTGATGATATACCCTTCACGGTTGATCCCGATACAGGTGACGTACGCACAAAGGTCGCTTTGGATTACGAGCAGAACCAAGTAATTTCACTGTTTTTATTTTCTTTTTTCTTTAAATGAATCCTTGAGGAAATTCAAATCGCTCATTACTTATCTTATTTTTAAGGAGTACAAGTTCGTGGTTACAGCACGGGATGGTGCACCCGATCCAAGGTTAGCTACAGCTACGGTGACGGTTCACGTTGTAGATATCGAGGATGAGGTACCGATTTTCCACCAGAGTACTTATGAAACTAGCGTCAAAGAGAACGTGCCCGATTACGTCGTCACTCACGTTCTGGTAAGTAAAACAGAACCTTTAAAAAGCAAATTTACCATGTGGAGGTATAAAAAGTTATTCTATGTACGTTTTTTTCGTTCCAGGCTGACGATCCGGATACAAAGCAGCAGGTGACGTACGTCATCCGCCAAGGTGATACCGATTTGTTCAGCATTGACGCTAAAACCGGTGCCTTGAAGACTCGCCGAGGCCTCGACTACGAGCGCGAGAGCCAGTACATCCTGACCATAGGTACGGTCGAGAATACAAGTAATCTGCCAGGAGCCTCAACCCGCGTGGTTGTTAATGTCATCGACGTCAACGACATTCCACCTGTATTTACAATGGTCCCCAGACCCGTGCATCTAGACGACAACGTATCGATCGGTGCTAATGTGGTCAACCTTATCGCAACTGACTCGGACGGCACTGCCCCAGGAAACCAAGTACGGTACGACGTAATCGGCAGGGGTATAGCCGGCAAGTACTTTGTCATCGACCCAGACAGCGGAGTACTTCGAGTGCGCGACGATCTCAGGAAGGTGCCGGATGTCACCGAGTTCCAGGTGGACGTGCGTGCCCACGATCTTGGTGATCCTCAGCTATCGTCCGTGTCCACCGTACCGGTCTTTGTGCGTCACGTGGCCGGTCCACCATCGGAGCCAGGTTTGGGCTTTGCCGAGGCCTCGTACAACGTTGACGTGCCGGAGGATGCTACCTCGGGAACCCTCATGAAGACACTCAGTGTCATCAACTCCAACGCAAGGGACGCGTTGCCCCTGGATTGCGAGGTGTACGATGGGAACGATGACCGACTGTTCAAGGCTAACATAACCGAGGAGCGCAACTGCGCCCTGTGGTTGGAAAAGGGTGAGTTGGACTTTGAGACGACTGAGAGCTACCAGATCAAGATCAGATTGTACACGCCAAATGGAGCGTTTAAGAGTGGCAGGAATGTCACAATGGTGAAGATTCAGGTGGTAGATGTGAACGACAACAAGCCGGAGTTCATGTTCCCCCAGGCCGATTTGACGAAAGACCGGTATTTCGCCAAAGTGCCGATGGCGGCTCAGTTCGACTCGACGGTGCTCGATGTCAAGGCTCATGACAAAGACAATGGGCGGTACGGCAAGATCGAGTTTCGTCTGGTCTTTGATAATGAGAACAATCGTGCCAGTGATTTCTTCGCCATCGATCCGACTTCCGGTATTATTCGCACCACAGCTAATTTCGACACTGTGCAGTCCCGGGAATTGCCTTTTAGGTAACTATTGAAAACATAACATCCCCTCTCATGATTGTAGGCGTTTATCGAAATACCTCTTGTAGAAGTAATTCTCATCAGAATTTATGCAAGAAATCCTGCAAAATTCCTTTAGTAAGTCCTGTACGATTGTTGCATACCCATTCTATGGAAAAACAATTGTAGTTAAACAAAATCTAAGTTGACAAGTATACCTCAAACTTTAATAAATTCAATTGTTTAAGCAATATGTTTGGTCTATATCAGTCGGAGTCTTTGTACTAAGAATGAGAAATCCAAATTATGTCGCGATTTTTTCAGTGTAGAACTTCTTTACCACACGTTAAAATATTATACAATCATCTTTGTAGGATTCTTTGCATGAATTTTTGAAGAAATTCCAGAAAAAAATGACAAACGGATCCAAATTTAGAGATTGACGAGAATTTTAACAATCCCATTCGATTTTTCAGATTTATCGTTCAGGCAAGGGACAATCCCAATTCGACGAACAATTCCAACGTAGCTGAAGCTCCAGTAATAGTCAATCTATTCAGACCAGACAACTACTTTGTACTGACAATACAAAATGCATCACCGGAATCGTTACTCAAGGATAGGGCTAAAATTGCTAGAATCCTCGAGGATAATACCGGTTTTCTCATCGAAATTGAGAAAATTGATTCTCGTAGAACGCTGTCGGTTAATAATACGATTGAAGTCAGGCATCACGATTCTGACGTCTGGTTCTACGCCGTTGATCCTAAAAGCGAGAGAATACTCACAAGGAATAGCAGTGTGGTGCAAAGGTCAGTTTCAAAACTTGCTTTTTGTTACATCATATTTAATAAGCAAGAACTACTTGATTTTTCAATAATTTCAAATATGACCTTTTTTTATTCATGATGTGATTGATTGGACATGACCCCATGGCTAAAAAGTAGATGAAACTTGCTGCCAAAAAAAAATTTAAATTGCAATTATATTTGCTGTTTGAAATAAAAGAAATAAAAGTAAAAAGAGACCTGTTTGTTTAGGTTGAGTACAATAAATATTTTTGCAGCAAACGTGAAAATAAAAAATAATTGTCAATAGAGTTTACTTATTTGTTGTCGATGTAACCATAACTTCTTACTTGTGTTCTGGTGAAAGTATTTTAATCAGTAAAAATATAAATATTTGAAGATAAATTCGTAATCGATAGGTTAAATTGAAATAAATAATTCAATATTTATAAATGAAAGTTATAATTTAAAATATTTTTCATCTAAAACGTCTAACAAGGACACCCTTGAACTCTATGTAAAAATCATATTTACGTGTGTACATTCGATTTAGTGCGGGCCGTATTTTCGTATACGTTTGAAAAAATTTTCGTACTTACTTTTTTACATAAAGTTATGCAAAAAGGTCTCCTAAAAACGAATCCTTATGTTTCTAAGTAAAAATAATGGTGAAAAAAACTTTTAAATTCTTTTTATTCAAGAAGTTCAAAAAACCATTCGAAATTCTGTGGATTTATTTTTTTTTTTAGATATTTTTTACAATTTTTTCCGAGGTCTAACTATTTTAAGTTTGGAAATAATGCTAAAACATTATAAAAAATTCGATTATCTTATTAATGTTTTAAATATCCCTTAACATAATCCCAAAATATGTTAGTCCAAAACATATAGCGTCATTGCAAACCTTTATTTTCCAAATATAGAGTTCGAAGTCTAAAATGTATATCTGCAACTTTCGATCATACATTATATATACTTTTCAGTTGTCCAAAAGTGCCTGGAACAGGGTTATATAACGTGAAAATGCAATAACATAATAGTCTAAAACGCTGGAGGAGTTGATTAAGAGATGTTTCAAGAATATTTAAGATTCTTGGTAACATTAAAATTGTTAGTTTTTTATACAGATTTCAAGGGGTAAAAGTGGCCTTTTCCTGCATTTTACGAACTTTGAATAATTTATTTCTCGAAAACTACTAACTTGTGAAAAAATTTTCTAGAGATCTTTTTTGTTTGAAATCATTCAAAAAATTCAACAATAAACTTTTCTGTACATAATAATAAATAATTTTTTGAATGTTTTTTTAATATCAAATCGTCATAACACTTTTTGACCATTTCTACTCAGCAACGTAAGAATTTGGTTCCAAGCGCGTTTGACAGAAGCACACAAGTGCGGTACATTTTATCGCTTTTCAGCCGACTCTTGCACGAGCGCCATTAGAAATCGACCTAGAAAATTCGAGCGGATAACGCGTACGAGCAAGTATATACACCTGTAGCACGGACACACGAGTTTTATATATGTACAGCCGAACAGTGCACCTTACGACGCGCGGCTGTGCGCGCACTCGCCTTTTTTTTTCATCCGAGTTCTTGCACCTATTAAATTTCCCAATCATTCGGAATTCCATAGTTTTCCAGATGAGGTTGAAAACATTGTCGTTGAGCTTTTTGTTACTCGAAAGGAACTGTCTGGTGACCCAAAAATTTAATCGGATGCAAAGACCATCGTAAATGTACGCCAGTGATGCGACACTTGTGTCCACAGAAAAAAGCAAAGTGGGAGCTATGTAGGTACGTCACACTCGCCGACTGGCAGTCTGCGGTGATTTCCAGAGGCACTCGCGTGCATGCAACGTTTTACAATGTTTCGGTACATTTGCTGATATGGTGTGTACACGCAAACTCCCCGAGTCCTTTCACTTTTCCCGGGCCGGAAAAATCCGGTGCGCCAATCATCGGCTCTCGAGTCAAAATGCATCTTAGTCCGCTCGGCATCCACCTGCTCGCCGCTTCCGTTCAACATCATGTGACAGCTTCGGTATACGTGTACCAGCGGTTGTCGCGTTCGCGGTGAAATGAGTGTAGAAATGAAAAAACAAAAAAAAATCCTCCGACTCCACGTGTTGAAGAGGCGGTGATACGCGAAATTGATAACAATAGCCACCGTGACATGTTTCTGACAATCGTCGGCGAAGCGTGACATGCGTGCGTCACCGCGAGTGGAGTAAATCGCAAAACAAAATTCTGAAAAAAAAAAGAGAGAGATAAAAACGAAAACAATCGTCAAAAGTACCAAAGTGAGTAAGGAAAGCACCTTTGGTTGTGTTTCCAGGCTACTGTTCGACAGTGAAGCGATGACCAACGTGACGGAGGGCTTGGCTGGCTTGGTGAGGGCAGCGACGGCTCTCGAGGTGCACGCGCCGGTCGTGGAGCCCGAGCTGGTGCGCTCCCACACGGCCGTCGCCTTCAGCGTCGAGGTTTTTCCTTACGCCCTCATACTCATCGCCTGCGTCATTCTTGTGCTCGGCATCGCCGGGATCATCTACATTTGCGTCTCGTGGTCCAGGTGAGTGGAGCTTTTTTTTTTTTGGAGAACAAAAAGTATCACCTTGCGTAAGTCATCTGTGTTTGGTGTAAACATATTTGGGAGTAAACGTTGCGCTCCACTTTGCTACTTCTCAAACTGTGGGTCCAACTCATCTTTATACCCTGATGTCTTCGTAGTTTTAATCCATTTAAGTGTGTCGTTAAGTATTTCACAGTTTTAATGCCCAACTTTTACGCGTTTGACATTAATTTGTCATTTCAACCGTAAGACAAAAAATGTGTAAACACTGTCATGATTTTACATCTGCAACGTACCTTTTATGTCAATTATCTTTAAAATTTTATGGCTAACGAAGCTCAAGGTATAAAATTATAAATACTTCAAATCAATTTGAGACAACTACAATACATTTTTAACGTAATTGATAAATGTAACAATCCTACCTTGTTCCTCGGGTAAAAATCGTAACAAATGTGCACATGGATTAGAAATAAAAAAATTCAATTTTCATCGCAAATTTTATTTCATTGTTAATATTGAAAAAATTTTTTTTTCGTTGTTAACTGTTTGCCCTTTCAAGGTTTCACATTTTGTTTTTAAAGGGTTTTAAAAGGAGTAAATTAATGGCGTGCAATAACCACCGCAATCATTTTGTGCTGGAAGGGATGAGAAAGAGGGATGGTTTAGTGAGGGTCAATCGAGCGTAAATGAGGGCTGGAGTAACACGTAGACCCATTCGAAAATTGGAATGACTTTGACTGATTGAATTGACCTAGAAATTGGAACAAAGTGTTTGTATTGTAATTCACGCACGTGTCCTGCGCGTATCTTCGGGATCGATACGCTGATATCCCACTTTCGCTCCAAGCAGCTGTCATTGAACCGTCTCTTATGAAAAATATCAATTACTTCGTACGATGAAGTTTCGCACTTATATTAAAAACAATTTATTTATTTGTTTTTTACTTAATAATAACCGTGTAACACCACAGGTAACATAATACATATTAAAAACAATGACCAATATGAAACGACAGTAATATTGACAAAATCTAATTTTCAACGAAACATGAGATATTTGAAAGGCAAGAGGGTAAAAAGCAAGGACTGGTAGAAGAATAATTTTAATATCGAAACACGAGGAGAAAGTCCGGAGAAATCAAACCCGGCCATCAAACTGCCCCGACCAGTGAAGCGAGGAGAGCAACAAACGCGATCTATTTTTCAACGAGTCTCTAGTTACGATTAAAAATTTTTCCCGAAACATCACCGAGAAAAACATTGAACACCGAGGCAATAACGCGCGAGTTTTGGAAAATTAAATGTCGGAAGCGCGAGTTTTATAATGCTCCGTATCCGACGTACAACGCAAGTTACGTAAACACCCGCTTGCGCAACACGTGGAAGTACTGAAGTAGTCGTTTCCCCAAATCACTTGCGCGTGGTCTTCAAAATTAAATCCGTCCAAGATTACCCAAATTCATAAAAATAATTTTTATTCTGCTCATGTGGATTATCGCTGTGCTTCTGGAGGAAAAAAATGACATTATACAAACACTAGTGGCATCGAATCGAATTTTCTCGCTGTGTGGGGGTATAATAAGGACCGCGCGTATTTTTTCAAATTACCGCGAGAGCAGCTCATTAATCGCATTACCGCTGATACGCCTTTCTCCGCGGAAAAGTGAATTTCCTCGCGAAAGGAAGCAGGGAAACGGTGGAAAGTGGACTCATGGGGAGGACTTTGATCGATCAGCGACTTGCCTGGTGGAGCGTGTCGGGATTCTGATGATCAGAGCTCGGTATTTGTTTGGATTGATGCTCGAATGTACTAGTGCTTGATGGCTTTTGGCGGTATTGGATGCGTCCTTTGAAAGGTCCAGTCCTTGTTTTTACTTTGACGCGTTATCAATGCCAATTTTATCAACTGGTGCATGGAATACTAAAAAACGAACTGCACCAGTTCAACTCATGTGAATATCTTTTTTGAAGATTCTTTTTGCTGCTGGTGAAAAAAAATTACTCCGTCTCATATTAAAGTTTTTATGAACTTTATGAAAAGAAGGCAAGTGGGATTATCTGAAATTACAATAAAAAAACTATGATCATAAGTATTGTTTCATAAACTGTTTATTGCACTGGAAGAGAGTGACAAATGTAGCTAGATATATTTGTATACTAAATCACATACTTCGTATAAAAATGAGATTTTATTAGCAATTTTTTTTATTTTTATAAAGTCTTAGGGAGAAAGTATGGCTCTCTCAAAACAAGAAGTTAAAGAAATACTTACTTTAAGAACTAAAACTTATTCTTGCACAAATTATGGTAAAATATTAACTTACTACAGTAACAGATAAAAAAATCAAATATTGGGCAAAAGTACAGGATACATAACAGTTTTGTTCTGATACGTATGCATAGGTCTAAAATAAAAGTTTTAAAAGTTATCTATTTTTCACGTTTTTTCAATTTGCAAAATATTTAAAAAACTGTACAGAAATTTTTGTAATTTATGTATATTTGCCAAATTAAAACTTTTTTTTAAGATACATCACTTATGCATAACTTTTTAAGGTATAACAAAGAGACTTAATTTCAAGACAGTATTAAAAACTCTTTTTCAACTTTTAAATATGATCATTTTTTCGTTCAACCAAAAGGATAAAAAGTTTTATTTTTTGACATCTACAATTTTTTTACCTGTAAATATTAATTTAACGTCAAAATCACATATGAGAAACTTTTTTTTTTTAAGCTTGTCCATTTTCGAAGTTGACATTTTTTTCTTTGATAAATTTTTTTGGCTTGGAAAAAATAAAGTTATTATACAAAAACAAAGCTATCCGTCCATTTGCAGGCTAGAATGTAAAATTTTTTAAATAATCGGAATATACGTTAAAACCACTTATAACTTTTACATATTAAGTACAATGTCAAGATACAATTGGACCTAAATACATGAGTTTTCAAATCAAATAAATTTTTTTTTGCAATGGGTAACATCTATATCATAAATTTTGCAAGATACAATATTATTTTAAAACTTAACGTGAATTATAAATAAATTGTTTGATTTGCAAGTCGTCAATTTTGAAAATGATGACTGCTACATTTTAAATCTCAGTTATCAGCAATCTTACTTTTTTTTAACTAGACTTAAGTAGATATTAAAATTTGAAAGCACCTGCTACTAAGCGTTAAATTTGGTAATTTAGACGTTTAGTACATCCTTGTGACTAACTCAAGTTTTACTATTATGAAATCGAATTATTTTAAAAGATTTGACGTACTTGAAAAAAAATGTTATACCAAAATAAAAAAAATACGGGCATGTCACCTTTACAATCGTTTCTGAGTCAAAAAATTTATTGCATTAGTCGACACTGGATGGACTTACTGTATTATACAAAATCAACTTGTTATCCACAGTATTAAAGAAGTAAGAAGAAAAAAAAATTTGATGGATAAGTCTTGAACTAAAAAAATCGTATAATTAAAAAACAGCACTCCCCAGACATTTTAAAATTTCAAAAAGATATTAATTGTTTTATTAGTGGACATATCGGACAGTTTGTGAAAATGTTGTATTCGAAGGAAAACATATCGAGTGCACGTATAATCAAAGAATCTAAAACGTATAAAAATGATATTAAACAACACAATTTGCTTCATGTTTAAACTTAAAATTGCTTTTTTGTCATGATTACCAGGTACAAAGCATACAAGGACCGTATGCAACGCATGTACGTGGTGCCGCGCTACGATCCCGTCTACGTCGAGCCGAACCTCAAGGAGTACGAGACCCAGGTGCTGCAGATGAGCGTACCCGTCGACGACAACGACAGCTACAACGACTTGCAGCTTGATTTCAGCAATAAAAATCATGCCTTCAGTCTTGACAATGTCAGCTACATCACTAAGGAGAACGGCGAGAGCACTGGTAATTGATATTTTTTTCTAGTCACCGGTGGGATGGTGAAACCTCGATGAAACATGATGCTTTTTTTATAAAAACTGAGTGAGGCTACTAGGCATATGCGATACCGAGATATGCAACGAGACTTTCTCGTCTCATCTCGAAATTTTCGGATCTCGGTCTCAAAATTTTTTTTAAATCTCGTCTCGTCTTGGTCTCGTTTTGAAGAAAATGTTTGACTCCCCAAAAAGTCTCGAAGGTCTCGAGGAAGATTTTCGAGATTTTCCAATTGATTCAGTGATTATCGGAAAACTTGAACTGTGGTCACATACATGCGTACGTGAACTGCAAAAAAGCTCACAAGATATAGTTACACGGGTTTAAGCGTTTTTTGGTACGCATTACATGTATTTTTACAATTTTTGTGACCACAGTCTTAGGTCTCGTTTTGACGAAGATAGTAGTCCATGTGTTGCATGGTGCGTCATTGAGCTACTAAGTTGCGTATAGCTCATATGAAATCATGAGAGTGTAAGAAAGGTCAGAGGACTTCATCTTTCACGCACCTTTTCCTCGCTTCCAAATGTTTCATGGGCCTTACACACAACGTAACGAAGCATTGATGCATCATGTAATCCGTGGTCTACCACCTTTGCCGAGCACATCTCACTCCCTCTCGCAGGTTTAAATGTCCCGTTGATTGCCGATTCATCAGATCACGGCTTGTGACTGAAGTCATAAAAATTGTAAAAATACATGTAATGCGTACGAAAAAAAGCTGAAACCCGTTTAATTGTATCGCGTTAACTTTTTCGTAATCCACGTATGCATGTATGTGACCGCAGTCCAAGCTTTCCGATAATCATTGAAGGAATTCGAAAATCTCGAATACCTTTCTCGAGACTCACAAAAGTATCGTAGGTCTCGGGAATTTTTTCGAGACTTCGAGATGAGACCGAGACTAGACGAGACTTTGTCAAGTCTCGTTTCATTTGGTCTCGGTCTCGGTATTTTTTTGTCAAAACCGTCTTGTCTCGTCTCGAAGTCGGTATCGTACAAACCTAGTAGGTACAGTGAAGAGGATCTTGAAAGTATGTGGATTAATTGAAATCGATTTAATTAAAGACATGCATGAAAAATTTGATTGTAAAATATGTCTTTTTTCTATTAAAGAATCAATTGAAAATTTTTCGTCAGAGTTTTAAGCATTACTTAAGTGTACATCTGTTTTTCCATTTTAAAAAGTGATGTAATATACTATTATTTAATAACGTTGTGAAGTACTATTTTATTTTATTGAACTGCGAAAACTCTTTCGCTTACAGGTAGATGTTTTTGTATACTAATGAACAAAAGGATATTATTATTTGAAAAATGAAACATTATTTCTTGATAGGGAACCAAAGTATTTTTGAAATATTTTCCACATGCATAAAACGCTGAAATTATAGGAATCACAAAGGGTTTTTGTTACGCACGCAGTAAAAGTATTTGAAACGTAAAATTTTAGTTTTGTGAAATAAAAATTCAAAATAGAAAATTTTTCAATATAACTTTATGTATGAAATACAAAAAGACATAAGTGACATACACATTTTGTACTACATAAATATTATCTTCTATTGTTTGTGATAAAACACCATAGTAAAATAAATCATTCACATCTAAATCTCTCCTAAAGTCAATTTGTCTATGTGTTTGTCTCTAGTTACATCTTAAGATTTTCTCTAACAATATTTTGACCCAACATAATTTTATGAGTGTTTTGCTGGATATGCCAACTTATTTTTTGTTTTGTTTTTCTTTAGTTTTTCAATTTTTCACAACTTTTTCAAAAATTTTAATAGGCTTTTATTGTACCAATTGAGCATACAGTATGTGTTTTTTTGTTTATTTTTTTTCCAACGACTTCCAAAAACCACTTCAATAAACAAAACTTGTAGGAGTGTAATTAATCTCTAATTCTTAAAGATGAGCCATTAATATACTCATTCAAGTTAATATACTTTCAAGTTTAAGTTTGTCGTCACAGTTGTTTCGGCATACAGTGCCTTCTTCGGATGGCAGCTAAATTTTTGTTAACAATATTATATTTATTTACAATTACTATATCATCAAATTTGCACATCGACGTACATGCTTATATATGTGTACAATACATACGTATTTGTATTTTTTTTCTTCAGTACACATACACGTATGCGTCTCTAGTTCTATATGCATATATATATGCACAAAAAATACAACTGTCTTCAATTTAACTTTAAATTTACAATTAACTGTCCAATAACATCTTCAAAAATTTGTTTTCATTGATTTCCATTGCATCAAAGAAATGTTAATGTTTTCTCCCCTTCCACACATGCATAACAATGTGATAGTCATCGTTGAATTAATGTCATACTCAAGCACGAAAAGTTAACTTTATATTTCTCTTCTAAAGTTTCAAAGTAGGATTATGCTAAAGAATATAACGTATATTTTGAGAAAACTTATGTGAGTAATGCTATTTTTGTTCTCTTTCTCTCTTGTCTAGGCCAACAGAGCCCGGTGTCATCGGAGGCAGCCACAACGGCACGAGCCTCGAGCATAGCAGGGAACAATCACAACGGCGCCTTGGACTCGAACGTGCACTCGCTGCGCCGGTCAACGACACTGGGCCGCAAGCCAACGGGCGCCTCGAACGGCCAAACTAACCACAACACGGGCACACTAAACCGCGACACAACGCCGGTCCTCAACCCGCTGTACAACCACGACCTGCTCAGCGCGAGCCCCTCCAACGACAATGTCGTGTTCCGAGAGCGCAAGGACTACTCGCACCTCGGCTTCACGTACCTGGGCGACCAGAGCCCCGTCGAGACCACCACCGAACTCTAGTGGCTCTTTCCCCCATGCACGGAGGATTTTATTTTTGCATTTTCCGTTGTTTATGATGCGCGGGAACCTCCACGATCGTTATGGGGACGCTTTATCAGATCGTTAACTCGTTGTTGAACACGAGGGGGCTCTCATGTCGGTCTTTGACGATAAAGTGTAGCGTTTCACTTGTGGATGCGACATTTGGACACGCATCAATGTTAGAGTGCAGTTAGGTGGATTATATACGATTTGTTGATATTTATTGTTATGTTGAAAAAATGGTCACCTTGTCGGGCGATGGCAAGGGAAACCGTGACGACTAAAGTTTTATTATTTTTCGTGACGAGTCGTGACGTTGCACGTTGAGATAGTTTGTATCGAATAAATTTGAATGAAAAAGATTAAAGTGCACGAGTGCATGTGTGATTTTTTTTTTTTTTTTTATTGTGCAGATGTTTGTGACGGTATGAAGAGTAAAAATTTTATTTTTTAAGCTTTTGTAATTTTTTTAAAATACAACTTTATTTTATGATAGGTTTTTAACTATTTTTTAATCAATCAATGGTCATGTCGATAGTACACAAATATGAGTGAATTATTTGCTGACTATTTAAGCAAATACTTGACGGATGAAAACGAAAGTCTTATTATTTTATTGACGATGTCGAATTTTTGAATATCTTTTCACAGCACGTAAACTTAAAGGAATATCAACTGCCACAATTCTATTCATTATTCATAAAATTAGATTAGTATGTGTTGTTCTTACTACTTACTATATATTATTATTATAATCATACGAATAACTTAGCGATCAGTACTTACATCACATAAATGGTATGACTCCACTATTATGTATCATTTTTAACACTTCTTAATTCATCAATAACAAGAGCTTATGTAGTAAATAAAAGTTTTTACTTACAAACTTATGATTAAACCGTCCAATGTAAAAATATGTAGAAATAAAAAGACTTGCGTGAGATGCATGTACTTAAATGTGTAAATTTAATGTTGAGAGGGGGTTACTTGAGTAATATAATTATGTACCATCATACGTACCGTAACCCAAGAAAGAATAGTAAGTGTAGCATGAAAAGTGGACAATACTAATGTTAATGTGTGTTTATAAAGTGATCTACAAGATCAGTTAAAATATGTACTTAATTTTTTTTTCTCTATTAACAACTCCTGTATTTTAACATTAAGAAACATCAGTTTGTTATAATGTTGATGGTGATTGAGTTTACAGTTATTTCAGCGAAATATGTCAATTAAGAAACAAGTGCATCTGCAAATAATATTTTTTCGAAGCGTAATTTTTTTTACCCTAAAAATCAAGCGATCCAGAGTTACCCGAATTATAGGTTATTTTTTAGTTTTACCTTTATGGAGGATTATTAGACGTTTGAAAGATTTTATTAAGGATCGCTCGATTTTTTAGTTAATTACGTACTTATGTTCAACGGTAATATGTCTTTTTTGTACGTCAACTGCTAGGTTATTTAATTTTTATGTAAACGATAGTAAGGATAATAATTTTTTTTATTGTAATATATATTTGGTGATGCGTACTCATAACAGCTGCGAAGTGTGTTAAAATTACTTTGAATTACAGTGATTTTTATAACATTTTGTGGAGAATCTCCATTTCTAGATAACATTTTTACGACTTCTATGACATAAGATGTTCGATACGAGCTTATCTTCCGACTTTAGGTGCAGCTGGAATTGTGTAAGCTTTTTTCTTACATTTATAGTAAAATGTTATGTCTACACATGAAAATAAATATAACGTCGTTCTAGTTGTAATATTTTTATTATTAAGTTGTACACAAGATCAACGAAGTGCATAAACTTTTTGTAACAATATTGTTGAAAAAGAAACAATAAATTTATATATTATTAAATATTTAAATGACAATCTTTATTAATTTCCTTACAAAAGTCATCTATTTCCACTACGTAAAAATATTCAATTTAGTAACAACTTCAAAAACCCACTTCATTGTGGTTGCAAAAATTTTACTATATAAAAACAAATATTAACTCTACTTGGACAACCAAGATGAGAATTTTTAGTATCAAAAATTTGTATTGAAAAAACTCACATAACTTATTTTTATATTCTATTAGAACAAAGGTACTAAGTATTTCAAGAAAGTATTATTTGTTTTTGCATACCTATCACTTGATAAAAAATAAAAAACCGAATTTTTTTAATTCAATTTTTTTTTAATTTGTGGTCGTAGTATATTACATATTGCATAAACGTCTACGGTTTTTCAAAGAACCAGTTTATTTGTGGTTTTATTTATTCTTTATTAATTTTGATTTTCTTTTATATATGTTATCTTGATGAAGTCTCTTTACTAAAACTACAATTTAAACCTGATGTCATGTACATAAGAATGTATGATAAATGTTGCATCTTTGAATCTTAGACACTTTATTAATAATTAAAACATCATGTTTTAAGCTCACGTTAAGAAACACATATTTTACATTTTAAAAAGTAAAACCTATTTTTAGTTTGTACTTTGTAAGGATAACGTTCAGTCGTACTTGACGTAGGATAAATTTTTTAAAAGATGTTTAAATTTATGCTTAACAGCACTTTTGACTATTTTTTGAACATCACATACAAATTTTGTGTAGTGTATGAAATATTTTGTATACGAAAATACGTTAACGTGTAATTTTGGTCTATAATCTTTATTCTTTATTCTTTTGGACTCCAAGCCAAAATTTTTTAATATATGTTACACTTTCGTTTGCATGAAAGTACAAGGTATGTTCTTGACGTGAAGCGATATTATTTACTAATTAAAATTTTGTTTACTCTAGTGTACGTTTTATTTTTTCAAAAATGTAAACATTGCAAGTCTTTATTTGTGTGAATGTTTTTTAATAATACAGCACCATTGGTTTGATGAGTTGATAAGTAGTTGTTTAGTTAAATTGATTAAAAATGTTTAGACGGAGACTTTATAATGCTTAATACATCTTAGTAAATGTATCGGCTTTTCCTCAACAACTGTACTATTTATTTATTCATTGTTTCATACATTTTTACTCATAATATTGATGCAATTGTTTCACAACTAATATATTTTTTTACCATGACAAAGTTAGCTGACTATAAAAGCTGTCGCATCTTGCAAACAAGTCATCAGTCACATGCATTGGTATTTTTAAATAAGTTTTATAACATGGCTCCCCGTTACTTTGTGGTCTTAGGACTTTTTGTAGTTTTCGTTGCTTTTATTGTAGCTGAAAATGATGAACAAGACGTTGATGGTGTTACAGATCGACAGGAAATAACGATGTACAGTCAAATATAAATTATTTGATAAATCACCCTAAATAATTTTAAAACTAATCTACAATGCTTTCATATTTTATTAGTTCACAAGCATATCTCACATATTGTCCAATAATAACAGAATTTTCTTGTATCTTCTTCTTCTCTTTTTCATATGTGCTAACGTATATAAACGTATTCTTCCATCCATGCAATCTTATAATGCTCCCAATCATGTTTTTGAAAGATAACTTTAAATGTAAACGCTAAAACATAGTTAAGTAAACATCAGTCTAAAGACCTTTTTGTTGAGAAAAACGTATGCGTTGGGTTTTTGAGACTTTATAATATTACAAACTGCAATCATGAGTTGCATATGCTTGTATTTCATGCTAACTTGAATCAAATAAAGTTTTTGTCGAATTATTTCTTGAAAAATAATAAATCAGATACCATTGTTATTATAATCTTTATTATATCAAGTACATCCGACTTAACACATTTAATTTTTTAAAAACTACGGAGAGCAAACTACGTGATGTGTCTTAACTAATAACAAAAAGACTTTCGTCACGTGACAATTAATGTTGTAAGATTAGAGATTTATCAATATGATAATAATCATAAAAATTGTGATCACCACAAACAGGCTGCCATTATCGCAAGAGCTATATAGGGAAAGTGTTAGCTAAACTGGTTGCCAAATGTGTCAAAGAAGGAACTGAAGAGTGTAAAAATGCTGGAGGGACGAAGGCAGCAATAAAATGCGCGGTAAAATAAAAATTGCTCTTATCATTTTAATTAAATCAGAATTAAGTTGCTTATCCAATATAATATTTTTATTTTTATTCTAGCAAAACTTTTTGAAGAAGAACAAGGGACGTTGCGCTCTTGGTTAATTGATTAACTAAATGACAGATGATACGATATACATCAATGTTCATAATAATTTGTAAATCGTATAAAGAGATGAATAAAATATTTGAATTTCAAGAACTAAGGTTATTTTTCAATAATGCTTTCAAGCTGTATATAATTATTTAGAAAATAAACTGAACAAATCAGTGAGTTCAATTTTAATACTTATATGTATATTTATTGCATTTTTTAGCAAGCAACTTTTATACATTGTGGACGAATTACAAAAGTGTAAAAGTCTAAATTGTTTGAGGTTACAGTTTTACTTTTTATAGGAAGCATCATTGTAATGTTTTTGTGTTTCTGATACATTTTTTTTACAAAAATCATCGATCCATACTTTCATGTGCACTAAATATTTTTAAAACCATTTTTCACTGCTAAACAGTATGGAATTAAAACTTGAATTAAATAAAAATTAAAAAGTTTTAGAAACCTCATTCAGCTCAATTCTTGATTCTCGGAGTCATGGATACTTTGTCCAAACGATGTACTCGACATTACTCCCACCAATCAGAAGTAAACTCGTTACTGTAACAATATCTCGTTATGCTTTATTCTTACTGAGTTCAAAGCCCAAGACTCTATCAATAACTAACTCGTCCTCATAAATAACTAACTTTAGACAGTGTCGAGTTATATTGGGCTGAATGCCTTAAGCTCTTAAAACTTTGAAAGTTTTTGAGTATTATCTAATGATAAAGTAATTTATTAGTCGAGAAAGCATAAAAGTAACTTACAGTTGTTTGTAATTTGCAGTTGGTTAGCCGGTTTGTGGGTAAGCCAGTGTTTGAGCAATATTTGTAACTTAACTTTTATCAGTTAATTATGACAACGAAAATCAATCCCACTGAATTTGAAAATGGTACCAAACCTACTAGTCGTGTAGTCGAAACGTCGTCACTTATATTTTAATAAATATATGAGTAGCATAGCCTTTGGCTTATTTATTTGATCTCCTTTTATCGCTGTTCTTG